TTTGATTTTGATAAATATTAGAATCATTAATAAAATGTCAATGTACCTTTGATAGCGTAAATCAAATATCATAATAGTGCATATTAAAAAAATAGACCAAACAAATGGATGTATCGACTGTAATACATTAAATTAGTAAATAGATTGATCGTACACCGAATTAATAATATGCCAAAATCAAGGAACGTAAGCTTTAAAAAATGTTGAACACATTTAAAATTCTTTTATATACGTTCAAATAAAAAATTCAAGAGATTGAGTGTAGTAAGTTATTTTATAAAACAATTCAGAACGTATTATGCGTAGGTGAAATCATATTAGTTGTACGGTTGATTTGAGCTTATTGATTTGAATTGTTTAATTTCTGTGTAAAAGAGATTAATTGTGATTTATAAATTTGTTTACTTTTAGAAGAAATGATGCAATTCAAGTATTTTCAATCCAAAATTTTAGAGACATAATTCAAAAATGTGATTCCTGTTTACGAACAAGCTAAAAATAGAAGTTCTATTATATTAAATGTTATAAAAACAAATGACAGTAAGTAGATGTAGATTTATATCACACGAGTACGGCAAATGCATTGAAATTTAAGCTGTTTTTCGTAAACCAAATAAAATAGAAAATTCCTCAGATTCTTCTTTTCCATTTAGGCAGTGGTAATAAAGTCAAGGAAATAAATAAATGTGTCGATTGATAAAGTTTAGTCTTACCTTAGAATTCGGTGGAATCTTATAGAATTTTTTTGCAACAGAAAAAGTTCCCGCGAGCACTATAAGTAGGCACCTTTAATCTTTTAACGGGCTATTTTTCAACATATGCCACTCTTCCATTTTACTCTCACCCCTAAAGGTCTGTATACGAACCGTACGTTACTAATACTCATCAGTTTAGTATCTACTGTTTTATTATTCTCGAGCATTACCAATCTTTTGCCCACCTGTATTCTATTACTTTGCGACGAATGTACAGTACTTTGGTGCCTTGGCTGATTGCAAGCCATAAATTCACAGACACAATACATCTAAAAATACACATTTCTACCTTTAAATCCGAGGAGTTCTTATTAAACACACACGTAAAGAACATTCAATGAAATGATCCAATATTTTCGGATATAACTAGACATTTTTAAATGTTAGTTTCATTGAAAAATTATTTTTCTTTTAAATATTGAAAATAACGAAAATACATTAATATTACAGTTAAAATATAGTAAGGGTTCAATGAAATTAACTAACCTGATCTATTAGTAATTAAAGTTAAATTTTTCTATTTTGGGGGGACCATTAAAAATATTTATTGTTATTGAATGGCATTTTCATTTTGATTAATAATATTTTAGGTATTTGCGAAATCATAAAAAGTTTTAAATATGATATTCTTAAAAAAAAATTAATTCTAGAAAGTACTATGAAATGTAGAAACACTTAAAACCAAAATTAAAATTAGTATTACAAACAATATTATTGTTTAAAAATATACCAACAGTTATTAGGAAGAGAATATAAATTACTTCAAATGGATGCCCGTATTATAGATACTAACAGTATTTGAACCCTTTGTTCGTTTTTTTTAATGGCTGTCCTGTTTGGACTTTAGGCTTAAAAGGGATTTAGCTGAGGACTTTTAGGTTGAACAGTTTACAAACGACAAATTGATCGAAGTATAATAGAAATTAAAAAAATAAAATAACAATAATAATACTAAAATTATATGAAAGCATAACCGGATACTTCACAGGAGTTTTTAACAGAGATTTTGGGTGAAATTTAAATGACACTCTACGTAACAGGGCCCATTAATCATCAGTAAAAGGCGCTACTATACTCATCGGACTATCCACCAACAATTCAACGAAAAGAATATTGTTAATGAGATATTTTTTGGTAAAAACAAAGCGTTCAAATAACAAAAGCTTTAACTAATACAACTAAAAAATTCTTCACGAATAAATTAAAAAATAATAAGTAGAAATGGACAAAAACTGAACAATACTTAATAAAATACAATATAACTTGTGTAACAAATTAAAAAGAAAATTCATTTCTCAAGACTACATTTGCATTAAGTGCACGTGTCCACCAGAGAAAATGCAAGCCTTAAGTTTAATTTTTAAATATGTGAAATTCATACGCCAAGAATTTTTTTTCTCGCATTAAAAATATAAATACTCCATAATGCGGTACAATCTGGTACCTCGGGCGACACAATTCCTAAATGCGGGTTTGCTATTTCTACAGAAAAGTTTTTAGTGATCTTTACAACAAAACAACAATAAGTAAGCACAAAATTTGATTACTGTACATCCATTATCTAGTTGATACAGTAACAATGTTTAGCTTAAAATATATATTAACTTAAAGTAATTTTTTAATTAAGTTTATTTAATTGTTACCAGAAAATAGTATTTTTTTTATTAATATCTTTAATAATAAATTACAATTAAACTTTAGAATATGCACAACACTTTGCTTTAAGTACTCTATCCCCCGTATCCCTTCCAAATCAATTACTGATCATGTAACATTATTTGAATTAATTATTTAGTTATAATTTTTTATCAATAAATAAATATAATCGGTAGTTATAGGCGCATATTTTTTATTTGAAAAAATATCAAATTGTATGATGGTTAATCTCATTATGGTGATTCAATCATTTTGTTTTTTTATAAGCAAGATTTTATAAAATACATGTAAACTTGTATACAATTATTAATATTTGAAGTTATGAAATGAAGTGTTGTTTCTCTTAATGATTTACAATTTATAATACATATATTCATAAAGAAACTTTGTTTCACAAATATTTGAATATAAAATCCGATTTGTTGATTAAAATATTAATTAAAAAAAGTTAATTAAATGATGTTTTAGCAACAAAAAATAAAAAACTCCATTAAAATTATATGAGACAATAAGTTTTTCAATATTTCAAGGTTTAACTTTTTGGACTAAACTATTAAAAATAAATTAAACTCATTTACATTTGACCATTTTATCTAATAAAATAAATGAAAAATAACTTGTTTTTTCAAACATTTTATTGAAATAACCAGTAAATAATTTTGGATCAAGGAAATGATATTTGAAGAATAAAAATAGTTTAATTTTAATTGACCAAAAATTGTCAATTAAAATTAAACTATAAAAAGGTAGAAATATTAAAATGAAAACTTCCTTTAAGTGAAAGAGTGTTATTCGAACGAATACTTAAAAATTTGTATTGGTAAAAAGACTATAAAATTTCAAAGCAAGATTTTTAATAAAAGCTAAAATAAGTTTCTAAATGTTTTATATAGTATTTGTTTTTATTGTTATTTTAATATCCATTTTATTAATCTAAATTATTTTTACACAGAGACCTCTGGGAATTGTTAGTAGCTACTTCTGTCACAACCGAGATTTTAATCAAAACCATTATATTATTTTTTTATATTTTAGTTTGAAATCTAAAAGAGAGGGGAAAAACTAAATAATTAAAAACTACTGATTTAATTATGGTATAGTTTCGAATAAATAAATAATGAAAGATTCAAAATTAAAATTGGTTGTAGTCACTTATAAAAAAATTACGACTACCTCTACAAATAATTTTTAAATATTTTGAGTAAAAACGTAGTTAAAAAATTAGGCTGAAGTAGATAACGAATTAATTAATAATTTTGTAACTCTTCACATTAAAAAAGTTGTGTAATTTATTTTTAATGGCTTATTAGGTTATTAAATCTCGAAGAAAACATTTATTTTTAATATTCTTGAATAAAAATTGTAAGTAGTAGAAAATATATAAGGTATTACGACGATCAGAAATCAAGAAAAGAGAAAACATTAAAGCTGGCAAAAGGCCGAGCCATTACGCTGTTAACCTAAGGTAAATGGTCTATTGCAATCAATTAAATGGCATAAAAAAAATCGCAAACGCAAAATTTGAAGAACAGGAAATGCATTATATTTTTTAAAAGATTGCACAATTACAAAATTTGCAAATTCCTATTTTTGAAATAAAAAATTGATTATGAAAGCTTATTTGATAAAAGTCTTCTTGTTTACTTACGTTTATTTTCTTAGAATTGTTGTTATTTATAGTTATGATTTTGTTTTACCTAGCTCGATCGTAGGTAAAGGGTTTAATGCCGTTGCATCGGATTGTTGGTTTTAATGATTTTAAACTTAATATTACTATAATATATGATTAATATATATTATTCATTACTTTTTATTTAATTTTTATATATAATAAAACAATAATTTTATATTCATTAATAGCTCTAAAATATCAATTTGAATTTTTAACAACATTTTTTTACTATGATATTGAAAGTATTATAAATATTAACGTTCTTCATTGAGAAGGGCTTGCTTTTATAAATTTGGAAAAATATGTTATTACGAAAAAAACGTTTTTAAAATTTGACTTCTAATTCCGAAAATGAAAAATAAAATATAAATGCGACGAAAAATTAAGTGTCTTACTGATAACTTTCAGTCGGCAATGAAATACGGATCCCTGAGGAAATGCTCAGCGGGTATTAATTCGAAAACTAATGAAAAACATCAGAACTTAGAAAAGTGGGACGTACAGTTATACCAAAAAGTTTCGGCAAAACAACCAGATTAATTTCTTATAGCAAGTTTATGCAGTGTCCTCTTATTTATTTTCGAGAACATCCCATACTAAAATTCTATGTTAAGGATGGGACTTTTGTTTATAATACTTAGAATTTTGTCAGTTATAAATAGTAATAAATTATAGACTAAGAAAAAGAGTTTTGTGTGCACGAAAAATGAATTCAAACCACAAACTTTTAAAAGCGGTTAGTGTCGTTATATCTTTAGCATTAGGTACATTCTTACATAAAATGATACTTAAAATAAATAGCATAGGCCTTTTCATATTTATGATATTAAAAATTATCATGCCCACGTATTTAAGAATTTATTTATAAATCGATAAAAAGTTTTAAAAAGATTATTAAAGAATATATATTATCTTACCTTCATTATCAATAGAGAAATAGCCAAGACCGTCGCCATCAACTATAGAGTATCCTACTCTGGAAGCATCACCAGGAGGATCTGCATCAGTGGCTGATACAGTAGTGACGAGAGAACCAGGAGGTTCATTTTCTTCAATAAAAGCAGTCGTATAAAAATTGTTAAATTCAGGCGCGAACATGTTCTCATTAACATCAACAATATCAATAGTTAACCATGTTTCAGAAGACAAATAAGGTATACCACCATCTATTGCTTTGACAATAAAAGTGTATATTTGTCTCTGTTCAAAATCTAATTCTGTAAGCGTACGGATTGTACCAGATAACGGATCAATGTCAAATATTTTTTCATTTTCTTCTAATGATGTTAATGGTTCCATTTCCAATGAATACGTAATACGTCCTCCAGTGCCCAAGTCAGGATCGACTGCGGACACAATAGTAATGACACTTCCAATAGGTAAATCTTCCAAAGCTTTAACAGTATAATTTTGAACTAAAAACAGTGGTGCGTTATCATTAACATCATCAACAATTATTCTTATTAGTGCCTCAGTATGGAGCGTCAAAGGTTCTGGAGCTGAGTCTGAAGCTTTAATAATCAGTTCATATATGTCTTGACGTTCACGGTCTAAATGTTCAGAAATGTAAAGATTTCCAGACATTTTGTCAATTGAAAATTGTTTTGTATCAGTCATCATAGTGTAAACAACCCTACCATTTTCACCTTGATCTGGGTCTTTAGCATCTATTTTGTAAATCACAGTTCCATTACGCACGTTTTCACTTACTCGAAAACTTGAAACTCTTTTATCTATTTTAGGTGCGTTATCGTTAACATCCAAAATAATAACTTTTAGTAACTGCCATGTAGATCGATTTGGTTTACCCATGTCTTTTACTGTAATATTAAGATTATATTCACTTCTAGCTTCTCTATCTAAGTAACCGACGACATTTAATTTACCGGTGTCTGGTTCAATACGAAATAGTGAATCATCGTCTCCGTTAGATATACCGAATATAAGTTTACCGTTATATCCAAGATCTCGGTCTCTTGCTCGAATAGCTAAAATAGTATAACTTAAAGGAGCAGATTCGTTCACTTGTACAGTAGAAGGTAAATTTATGAACTCTGGTGTATGTACGTTTTCTCCATACCTACTTGGCATCATAGCGAACTCATCGTCTTCGCCAATGTTATTTTTTTTTGCCATTTCGATTGCTTCGTTAAGTCTTCTTATCACGCCAGTTTCATGGCAATTAATATTGATCAAATCATCAGTAGCTTGCGTTTTCTTAGCATTCACTAAAGTTATATGCAAGTTAGTTAAGTCGGAAAAATGAACACCATCAGTTGCCGCTATTTTCACAATTCGTTCTTCACTACGGACGTCTACTAGATCACATGTAACCGATAGAACACCCGACGAAGAATCTATAGAAAAACAGTTATCTTCATTGCCTGATTCAACGCGATAATTGATAAAGTCTCCATCGTCAAAATCAACAGCTGACATAGTCATTATATCTTTGCCAATGGCGGTATACCGAGGAAGTTGAAGTTTACAGTCTACTTTTTCAAACTGAGGTCTATTGTCATTGACATCTTTTACTTTTATTATAAGTTTCATTTCAGTTTGCCTTCTGTAAGGGTATCCCCAATCTGATGCTCTTATATGTAACACATATTCCCGTCTCATAGTTTCATAGTCTAAGAGTTGGGTAGTTTTTATGATTCCTGTGAAATGGTCTATATCGAAAGGAACAGGTTTTAAATTGGTAATACTATAAGATATATAACCATTTTCACCAGAGTCCTTATCACGTGCTCCAATTTTTGTTACAAAAGTACCAGCTATTTCATTTTCATTTATGGTAACTTCCATTTGATTTTTTTCAAACAAAGGATCGTTGTCATTGGCGTCAATTACAGATATTTTTACTTTAGCTGCAGATTGCTTTCTACTTCCGGCATTACCCTGATCAATTGCACTTACTGTAAGAGTATAAGCTGCTTTGTGTTCAGCGTCTAAAGTAATAGCAGTATATAACATTCCTGTTCGTTTGTTCATTCGAAATTCACCACCTTCATTACCACCAACGATTTCTAAAAACACTTGGGCATTTTTACCTTCATCTTTATCGCTTACTTTTAATTTTATAACTGGCGAGTTTATAGGAGCAGTTTCTGCTATGTTCACCTCATACAATTCACGTTCAAATACAGGTGCATTATCGTTTATATCAGCTAGCTCAATATGAATAGATTTGTAAGTATCTCTTTCTGGTGTTCCACAATCGACCGCTCTTAGAGATAAATTATAGCCTTTTGGAGCGGTTTCTCTATCCAACATTTTAAGTACAACAATATTATATTCTCCATTTCGATTCGTTTCACGAATTCTGAAGTGACCATCTGGATCACCGTCAACAATTTCTAAGTTACATATTTTACCATGCAAGCCTGTATCTCTATCAGTTACTTTTACAATTGCGTAAATATCACAATTAGATTCTTCTACTATGCGAGATAAATGCTGTACGTTTATATCTGGACTGAAAAGATTTACTTGTAATATATTGAAGTTAATTTTTGCAGTACTCGGTTTAGATCGTCCCTTTATACCTCGATCCCGAGCTTCTACAATCAAGTCATAGAATCTTCGTTCTTCGTACTTTAAAGGTTTAGTAATTGTAATAACGCCAGTTCTTGGGTGCATGGCAAAATTATCAGTTTTCATTTGAAAACTATAATATATTTCACCGTTTATTCCTATATCAGCATCCTCAGCTGAAACTCTAAGTACACTTGAATGTAAGGGAGTATCTTCGGGTATAGTGTGTTCATAAACAGTTGGATAAAAAAGTGGGCTCAGGTCATTAGTATCTAATACTGAAACGACTACATTAGTATGAAGCTCAAGAGAAAAATTATTTTTTTTCTTGTCTTTAGCTTTGTCAGTAGAAGCTGTGATAGTAGCTTTTACTTCCAAATTATATACATCTTGGCGTTCTCTGTTAAGAACATCATAGTCAGTTTTTGTCCTAATTAATAGAAACCAAAAATTACCTACTTTTTTTTCTTCTGCTTTAAAAAATTTTACTTTTTGCTGTGAAATTAATTTGTACCGTATAATGATATCTTCATCTGAACAATATATACCCATTTTTTCTTCCGTCCGTACGTAAGTTTTAATAAGAGCATTTTCAGGAATTGTAGCATTATACAAATCTCGAGTAAAGTGTAATTCTGGTAAACTGCTGTTTCTTATTGAAGAATAACAGTCAGTTATAAAAAATACAGAAACCAATATTAAAAGTTTGATGAACAGGATATTGTACCCTGTTTCCATGTTAGCATAGCATACAAAACGTTATCTCATTGCTGTATGATTGTTACGAATTAGACCTCTCATATTTTCTGAAAAAGAAAAAATTCCATGTACATAATTAATTTAAATAAAATAATTATATACAACATCATCCAGAGCTAAAATATATCTAATTACAATAATGCAACTAGGTGTAGAATTTAAACTTTACTCCGAAAATTGATGTTTTTAATAAACATCTATTTTCATAAAAACATTTTTAATCACATTTTAGCTACTTTAATGTAGATATATATTTCAATGTTTCGGGTTACACTTTTTAGTACTAAACAATAAAAATAGTTTAAAACAACGAATATATGTATTATATAGGTGATGGATTTAGGGTAAGACACTAATGTTTTTTAGAAATTATTGAAAATTTTTCATTTTTGTAAAGATAAATATTATTTGGTTTAAAAAACTTTACAAATCATGTAGTAAAATATATTTTTTTGTTTCATCTCATCAGAAATAAAAAAACTTTATTTTTCTTAAATAGGAGTCCCTTATTTTAACTTGATAATAAAAAGAAAAATACATATTATAATATTGTTATTATTTGATTAAATTGTTTTTCTATTATAGCATGTTAATGTTTAATAATTCGAGATTACTTTGCTAATGGTATTTCATTGTTAAGAATAATAAAAGACTTCGTTTTTCCATTATATCACTAAATTCAGTTTTATTGATCATGATTTTTTTCTAACACATAAAAAATTGTATCTTTTATCATTTATGTCTATTAATTGTCGAATTATCTTATATTCAATGCAAGTATACTATTGTTTATTGTCGATAAACCGTGTGAAAAACTTATTGATAATTATTATAAAAAATAATTGATGACTTATTGAAACAGGTTACTGATGCCTCTGGTATTAAGGAATCAAAATTGATAGACAATTTTACTTTAAACCCAAATTTTTAATCTTAAAATGCAAACGGTCGATAGAATAAAAAAAAGTTAAAAGAACCAAATTATTGAGTAATTTTATTTTTCTATTATCAAGTTAAAAACAGGGGCGCCTAAGAAAATAATAGTTAAGGTTCTTATTTCTAGAAGAATAAATAAAATATTTGACTATAGTAGTACTATGTAGTTTTTTGAAACAAATAATATTTCTCTTTACAAAAATAAATATTTTCAATCATTTCTGAGAAAATGGGTTTCTTACCTAAAATTGATCACCTTATAATAAATACTATAAAAAACCAATTGTTAAAAAAGTTGTAAATCATTTGACCGTTGGTATAGACATAGTGATAACTTTGAAAAAATATTTTGATGAGAGTTCATAGATAGTTTATGAAATAACTGTGTAAATAATTTTGAAAACTTTTAAGTTTAAGTAATATTTATTTTATTTTTGGTAGTTCTTATTTTACAATTATAAACAATGAGTACAATTGAAGGTAAACAATTTAATGCGGAGTTAATATTAACTTTAATATTTGTAAATAGTGAAGACTTACACAATTTTATATTCATATAATAAAAAAAGTCAAATAGTAGCATATATTTAAAATAAAACTTCTTTTATAAATACGTACATACTACTGAGGTTAATAACTTCTCAAAATCCAATAGAACAATATAATTTCATACAACATAAATAAATATATTTTTTAATGTATAGAGAGATTTAATGCGATTTTCTATTTCAAATTATATACCACTCAAGTTAATAAACCACATTACCACTAGATGATGGGAACGATTGTTCTGCTGAGTTTTGATCAGAATGCGATTTCAATATTCTCCAATGCCTCATCTTATAAAATTTAATTAGTTCGCAAAGATACGTTGTACGAAGCCAGGAATTGTTATATAAATTATACCAGTCTCCTATCCGCCAATTTGATACACGCTGACAACTTTGAAGTAATGAGCTTACTACTGTTGGTAAAATGACATTAAAATGTATGTACTACTATACGATATAATTACGCTTTATCAGGTAAAAGCTATAAAAACTATAGGCCTTCACACTGATACTCTAATAATGTTGTGATGTTTATGAACCTCAATTTGTGAATAATTAACATTAAGCTGCTTTTACTTTTATCATAATAAACTTGATATTGGTTTTGTGTTTCTTTTAAAAATGATGGAGAATCTTTATAAAAAGCATCAGATAGAATACTAATGCATGTAACGGTACAATGTTTTTACATAAATAAAATATTAAATACTGGGTAAGTTTGTTAAATTATACACGTGTACACTTTTAATATCCTTACAAAATTTAGAAAATATACGATCAAATATAGCTGAATAGAAATGTGGTCGACTTAACACAACATTTGGTACAAAAATGCAATTGTGATGCCACCACCCTCATACTATGAGATGCGTTACGGACAATTACTTTTTTTTTGAAAAGGCATACTTTTCAACACTGCAATACAAGTTACATTTTTTCAAATACTTCAGTTTATTGCTATACGTAATCCATTCATAAAATATATACTTGTTTCGCTTGGTCGACTATGCCATTAATATAAACAGCCTGTGGTCTATGAATACTTTTAAAATAAGTGATCAAAAATATTAAGGGTAAAACAAATGTGTGTTTACTAAAAAAAATCGACAAATATATTATGTAACTTTTTCTTTTTTCATAGCGATCAACAATATTTGCGAGATAAATTAAGTTATTCAATTAATTGTATTTTTAATTTTTATGTAAATAAAATAAACTAATAGATTTTAATCAATAAAATGTACATCTTTTTGTACTTAAAAATATGTGACAATGATCTCTGAAAAATTTAAATATTCCTACCTTTAAAACAATTTATTAAAATTAAAATAATTAATAAACAAAATCCTGGATAAAAAGTAAGGAATATTTTCAAACAAACTTAATTTGATTTTCTTACGCCAAGATTTTTCGTGTATGTGTATACAAAAGTAAAACAAATAGGTACTTGTTAAATAAACACGTTGGATCTAACTAAAATTTCACATAAAACATTTTATTGCTTATAATGAACTACATATGAGTTATTTGAAATAGTAATTTGTTTAATATAATGCGACAAAATTACGTAAAGGTAACTCGAAAAATGTTGAACTACTTGCATTTATAAGAAATTTTAATTAAGTTAATAAACAATTTAAATAAGTTAGCAAAACTCAAAAGTATCAAATAAATGAAACTTTAAAACATTATAGCCAATCATGACACATACACAGATTTATAAAATTTTACATTGCAAAAATAAACTTTTTGTTAAATTTTAAGACGTAATATAAAATTGAATTATGGTTACACAATGAAAACAAACATAAAAAATGTATTAAGCGAACATATATGAAAAGGCACAAGAAAAAAAATATAAAGAATATCATTTTTTATCGATAAAACATTTTTTACATTGTATTAAGAACTTATAGCAATGTTTTATCTAATAGATCATCACAAAGGTTTTAATTTTTACAACTTAAAGCTTTCATGTTAAAAGTAAAAATTGAAAATTAATTAATTCTTTATTCTAATATTAACAATAATAACCGCCATTAATGTACATAAATACCTATTCATGTACTTTAATATATATTTAAAGGTGACAAAATATGAAAAAGGGATATTTTAGTGTCTCGAGCAAATTATTCCCGTAAATCACTTCACGTAAAAGGTTTTAGGCGAGTCTTTTTCAACGAGTCTCTTAAAAGTTTTGCTATAAAATCCTCGCTTTAATAATAACTAGTAGATACACATGAGCGAAAAATTCATGGCAATAAATGCAATCGAACGTGTTTCTTCTAAATTCTTTTATCACATTTTTAAAGATTTAGGTGTAGAACCACAAAATGCGTTTAACTATTAGAAAGTAAACTGAATTTTCTTAAGATTCGTGGGATGCAAACTAATGAAGTTTTAATATCTTAAGTATGTTCTTACAATGTTTTATACTTTTATTAGTCAGTCTTTATGAATAAAAAAGTAGCCCAATTTTCACAAAATTAAGGGTAATGTATACATACGCAATGGACAGATAACATTTCACATAATGAAATGGCTGTCTTATTTCACTTGATACTGTTTACGCAAAAATTTGAAAAAAAAAAATAGTTAGACGAGAGTGATTATAATTTAATTTTAAACAGTGCATTTTATAAGATAAAGATTCTATTATTACATTTGTAACTAAAAAACAATATGCCATACTAAGCGAGTATCAAACTTTTAGGAAAATCATTCCAGTAATTATAATTACAAAAGCATAATAAATTACGAAAACTGGAGACACTCCCATGTTATATAAACTTTATTGAAACTTAAAAATATTTTACAACGGTCTAAAGTAAAATACAAAGACATAAATGAAACTCCAGGCTATCTAAAGTCGTTCACCAAGTTCGACACAAGTTAGCGAACAGCTTTTGAACTAGTTATATCCATTTATTATTCGGAAAAGTTTAGGAGGAAAAAAAATTTTTTTACATTGTAGAAAACTCGTTTAATGTTCAATTCCAATCGAACAATATTCTGAAAGGGGAATAGGGTTTTTGCAAGCGACAAAGGGTTTAATGGGACATGATTGTGTTTCAAAATATGGAATGAAAAATTATGAGTCGGCATTTGAATTGTATATTTGTGCAAGGTCTTTCTGTTACATTTTAGAAAATGAAATATCGCTGACTAAGGGTCAATTTACGCGTTTAATGTTAAAAATAAGTCACCCTGAAAATGATTAGTACAATTAAAAAAAAAAAAACGGTAGCACAGTGGGGTCGAGGCACAGTGTAGACAAGGCATAGATGGGACAAGTATAGATGATATTTGACAGTGATTTAAATCACTATCATAAGAAACGCTTCGATGCAAATCTGTAGATAGTATTTCATTTTAAAAAAAAATTTGTTAAAATAGCATATTTTTGAATACGGTAGCCGTTTGCGTATAGAAGATAGATCGTCGGGACAAATTTTTTGTTTTCATTTTGTAGTACATAAAATAAGCTTTAATTTGATATATGTTTAAAGGACGCAGTATTTCCGGAACATTTTCAAAAATTAAGTTGAAAAAGTTATTTT